GGGAGTTTTCCCTTTTTTCGTAGATTCGTTTATTCAAAACGTTTTATCTCTTAAACCGTGTGTCCAAATCTCGAACCCCTTTCCCGGTTGGATACCTCGCGTCGAGATCTTCAAAATTAGATCCATGTTGATAGGTTTTAACGAACTTTTTTTTCACGAAAAAACCGGACGAAAAAACCGACGAAAAACCGTAACCGGGGACACATTTTTTTCTCCTTTCCGTATGAGGCACACTCGTGCCTCTGACGAAATCACAACCGTGCCTCTCGCGAAAGCAAAACCATGCCTCTGGCGAAAGAAAAAAAATAGAAAACGTGTTTTTTCCTTTTCCGAAAGAGGCACTCCCGTGTCTCTTGCGAAAGCACAACCATGCCTCTCGCGAAAACAAAACAGTGCCTCTCGCGAAAGAAAAAACAACAGAAAACACATTTTTTTTCCTTTCCGAAAGAGGCATGCCCGTGCCTCTCGCGAAAGCACAACCGTGCCTCTCGCTTTTCGTTTCCGAGGAGGCACGGCCATGACTCTCGCGAAAGCACAACCGTGCTACCGCGAAAACAAAGTCGTGCTCTCGCGAAAGGAAAAAAAATAGAAAACACATTTTTTTTCTGTTTCCAAGAGGCACGGCCGTGCCTCTCGCGAAAACAAAACCGTGACTCTCGCGGAAAAAAATGCGTTTTTTTGCGCGAAAAAACGAAAATAAAATTGTCGAAAAGATAGGAAAGACCAGTGAAAAACCAAAACGTCCAAAAAACCAAAAAAATCATTTAAAAAGCCAAAAACGCCTGCGAAAAAATAAAAAAAGAAAATCCGAAGGGAGCGCCCAGAGCGCGACACGTGGCGAATGGCTGAGAGCGCGCCAAGTGGCGCTGATTGTTGCGAGGCTCCCGAAGGAACGCTCGTTAATTAGTTGCTCCCAGAATGCGGGTATGGAGAAGCCCAACAACAAAAGGGCCGATCCGACCAGCCGAGGCGGCGATACCAACGCGAAGAAGACGAAGAGGGATCCGTCGACCGTGCGTACGCCCTCGTCTTTGCCAAGATTGCACAAGACGAAATAGACCAAGAGTCAGGTATGAATATGATTGCGCTATCCCGTAGCCACCATCCATGTTTTCACCATCGAATTCATCTGCTCGTGTGTGATCTGAAATTCTGAATCATCTGATGATCGATATATGTTTATGTTGCCGCCGCCTGTAGCTCCCCGGCCTATGCAAATTCCTACCATCGCTTACTTCAAACCTCCGACCTTGTTTCACACTGACGAGCTCTTTTCCGACCGTCAATCTGGAAGAAAGGCCGTGCTGTCGGCAGCTAAATTTTTTCTAGGTGTTTCATCCTCTCTTGGTACGTGCATATGTATCCACTAATCCTCTGTATGTTTCGGATTTTTTGATCCGTCGCCGCACGCAACTTCACGTATATATTAATTGTGCTTGAATCACACAGATGGTCGAGAGCAAAACCGGCCTTGTTCTGACAACCGCGCGGCTGATTCGCACAAAGGATGCTCCTGTCAGCGTCTGGTCAGGCGGTGAAGAGTATGCTACAAACGCTGATGTGAGTCAATGTGTTTCTTCTGTTAATGTACTTTCTTTTCCAGCTGGTTCCATCTCAAATAAAATAATTAATCTCCGGCGTAAATCTAACTAGCTGAAATTCGCATGTTTTTTTGTGTGCTATTGGCTTTTTCAAATAACAAAATGGAAACAACACATGTCTTTTCTTACTGTTCATCAAATATCTTATATAATCTGTCGCGCAAACTTTCTCTTAGGTCACTGTTCATTTGCTGAATGGCGCCAGTGCAAAGGGCCAGCTGGTCTATCACCAGCCCCACTACGATCTCGCTTTCTTGAACGTTCAGGTGGATCAACCAATCAAGTTAGCATATTTTAATGAAAAAGACGTAGAATTTGCGCAGAAGGTTTTTTGGCTCGGAAGAGACAATTCCTTAAATCTAAGGATAACATATGCTAGAGCAGAATATTTGAATCCAACCAGTGGCGAATCTAGACAGAAACTGAAGGGTGGGCTCAAAGCGTGTATCATGCCAATATCTGTTGGGTTGGGCCTGCAAGTGGCTGAGTTGGGCCATGAAACTAGTAGTAAAAAAAATTCTTGCAGTGCTGGAGGGGGGGCTCAAGCCTTTTAAAGCCCCCCTAGTAGATTCGCCCCTGAATCCAACCATGTATGAAGGCACCACAATATATATTTCCGTTCTGGCCATGGTGAGGATAATGAGGTAATATATCTTCTCATGAGATAGTATTATATACATTTGTTACAATTTTGAGTTGTGTTTGATGACATCTTTATATTCTATATTGCAATATACTGTTATAACATGTTTCTTCTTCTTGCAAACTCTCATATGTTGCCAGTATGAGTTGTTACAGTATGACAATGGGGGGCCAGTTATTGACTTGGATGGAGAAGTTGTAGGAATGGTCAACGACCCTAAGAGATTTGAGTCTTTTATACCTTCTTCCATTTTGCTCAATTGTTTGGATTCATGGAGGAAATATCGGTACACTTTTCCTTTCAGTTCTGTGATGGAAACAATGAAAATATGTTCTCTCCTATTGTTTCTTTTTTTGTTATCGTTAGGAGTCGGACTATTTCTCGTATTATATCTATTATATCATTTTTATACAATTTAATGACCATAAAGTTATGTGACGATTCTAAAAAAAGTGATCATGCATTATCATGTTTTATGTATATATAGAGAGAGACATATGTTTGAATAAGTGGCTGCAATAAATAATTTAACAATAATAATCATTTATATGCAAATCATGAACTGGGTCTTTGGTGGGGCCTAGACAAAAACAAACATGTAGAACGACACTGACATGCTGAGATTACAAAATGGATTATGATGATAACTAGTTATAAGAAGGGTTCTGCTTTGCATGTCCTTAGCCAAGTACTAGAGTAAAGTTTAATGGAAAACTATGTTTTAAGCTTTTCTCTCAATTTTGATCGACAATTTCCCTGAAGCCGTACTTTTTCAAGGAGAGTTTCATGTTAAACCTATGAGATATTCATGAACAAATGTATTTTGTGATACTCAATTGTTCTCGGTCATAATGAAATACTCAGTTAATCCCCTCTACTATTTTGTGATACTCAAATGCATTTGTCAACTACTCCCTCTATCCCAAATTCTTGTCTTAGATTTGTCTAAATACGGATGTATCAAGTCACGTTTTAGTATTAGATACATTCATATCTAGACAAATTTAAGATAAGAATTTTGGGACGGGGGGAGTACTATGAATGATTCATCCTCGTTGGGCCTTTCTGAACTCTATTTGACTCAAAATAATTGGTTATTGTTGTTTTTTCTTGACAAGCTAAGATAGAAGCTCGATTCCACCAATGATTGCTAATTTTGAAAATGTTACTTGCCCATGTATACATTGCTTGAATATACTAAATGATTATCTGGTTTGATGTAGGCATTTCTCCCGGCCCCATCTTGGAATGACGTTTAAGGCCATCGAACTTCTAGAACCTGCTCATGTTGACATGTTATGGCGTATGTTTAACATTGATGACGGTCTTGTTGTTCAAGAGGTAGGGTAATGACTTCCTGGAGGTGCTCAATTTCTCATGCATGTAGTGGTTAATTATTTGGCAATTGAACCCTAGGTGTCAAAGGGATCTAATGCTGAGATACTCGGAATCCAAAAAGGTGATGTTATTGAATCTATCAATGGAAAACGTGTTTCTACCACAATTGAGGTGGGTTTATTAATGAGCTGAAAAGAAATTACATGCGTGATAGTTGGTGTCTTCACGGTCTTGACTGCAATGTTTTTTCTCTGCAATTATCAGTTGGAAAATACGCTGATGAGCACATGCAAGGGACCTTCAGGTGCTGAAGTTCATATTTCTGTAAGTATATCATAACGGTTGTTTGCTTGATCCCTGCCATCTTCTTTGTACCGATGTATTATTAGCAAAATGCTAGCACTAAGAGATATGTTTTGCTAACACCATAGGTTGGGGTGTTTCACACACTCAAAAAACAACGAAGCACCGTAGAGTTGACTTCAAATTTATCAGAACTTGGAGAAGTTATTACAAGCTAGGTACACATCTCCTCTTTTAACTAGCGCAATCTACATATTATTATTTCAATTCTCTAGTATGTACTAGCAAAAGCACCCGTGCGTTGCAACGGGGTAACAAAATTGTGGCCATCAAATAAAGCCATCGAAAACATAATATCTATCATGATTATAGATATGTACAAAAGAGCCCGTGCCTTGTTAATTCAAATCAAATAAAACAGATCGCTGGTAGCGCTTAAGAATTAGACATGCTAAGTAATTGATACGTTAAGTTGATGGACCACATGACACAAGCTTAGAGACCACATTTTGTTTTGAAAATTTTACTTTAAATATAGCGACTGGAACATCAATATTCATCATATAAATACAATATATGACTATGATTTTGTTTGAAATTTTCATTTTAGACATAACAATACATGAACCATTAAATAAGAATTTTTTTTCCTAAAATTAATAAGGCATGTGAATGCTTCGACAGAATACGTAAACCATTTTAATTTAAATAACAAAATAAACAATTAGTAATATAGGTGGGCTGCTTAGCCATGTAATCTACTATCTGCCTTGAAATGTAGTGCAAATACCTTTCCCACATATCCTGAAATAAAGAAACATCAATAAACTTCAGTATCTTAGATGGAGAATTATGGAGTTTTATTCTACAGCAGAGTACCACCTGAAGTTGAGTAGTGGCTTTAGAGTCATAAATCTATATAACTGGTAGGCTCAATAGTTGGTAAGAAACTATATTTTAATTAGAGAAATGGCATGCAAACTTCTTAAGTTAACATGTGCTATGAGCTAGCATCATGGCCATCTCTGCCTGTGCCCCTCGAACATGCTACGATATGGTGCAAAATAAATAAACTATGATGAACACAAAATAAATAAGGAAAGCAGAAGTCTGCCGGCTCAGGCCGGATCTCACCGATGGTGACATGGCCCTCCCTAAGGAGATGCACTCGTCTCCGCCGTTCAGGCCGTCCAAGGCTATTGTGGCCAGGGCTGCACCTACGCACCTAGGAACTGAACATTGCCTCCTTTGCATTATATACACTTTTTAGTTTCCACATCTGGTGCAGAAAAAACATATCACTGTCAGTATTTGAGTATTTTCATACTGCCAAGAGCACACACTGAAAACAATTAGAGCAATCTTCCCAGATCACTTTAGACATGGGAAAAAGGTTGAGTTTCCTGAAATGATGTGGATAATTATATGATTTGGTACAGAGGTGTTAGCTTATCTACGTTTTTATAAGATGTGGCTGAGGATAGTGAATAGCAACACCCAAAGGACTATAATATCATCTAACTTGGCATGTTCATGTAAACTAAATGCAGCTAACATAATAGTACTTTTGATATATCTGAATTTAGTACCATAAAATTGAAGAACCATACGGTTTGATTTCTCATATTTCATTTCAGAAAATAGCAGAATCTTCTTTTAAAACTAACGGTTAGAATGCTCCTTATAAAATCAGAATGTGCCTTTCAACATTTAAGCTCTAGGCTTGGTGTAGAAACTCAAATCGATCTAAGAATGCAAGAGCAACTGAACTTGATCGTAACAACAGCAAGTTAAGTGTTGTGTGAACAGACTGTACATGATTTCTACGAAACAAATAAAGGCTCTTATGTTAGGATAATCCTCCTACTATAACAGTTTGATTTACTTCACTTGACAAACAAAGCACCTACCTATGATTTGGTCTGGTAGGCATGAAGCTACAGTAACAATTAACAATTTCTGTAGAATAAATATTTTCTATATATACATACTTGGCAGAACTGAGTAAAGGGCATAGACAAAAAGAACAGAAACAAAAGCTTCTGTATCACCACAACAGTAAGTGTACTTTTAAGCTCACTTGTCTAGCTATAAGCTATCAAAATTCACTAACTCTGTGACTTTAAAACATCAAAATTAGGGGGTTACCAAAACATGGAATAACCAGCTCACGCCCCGAGGAAAAGGACCTCTGAAAGTCTGAAGTGTGTTCACTGTATTGTAGCAGGAAGCACATAAAATATATTTGGTATTATATATGAAGCAATTGTATCCTGGAGCACTGATTTTTTGTACAACACATTTACTCATTGACACCAAACGGACCAAAAGATCAGCCCATCTCAAATATTTTCAATCACTGAAAGCTATCTACACATATGTTAATCTTTTGGACCAGACCAAGGAGAACGGTACTTTTTATGATTGTAGATGAGAATTTTACAGAATAATTTTGCAAAAGCTGATACATACCTGTGGTGTAGCACGTTCGGACGGCAGATGTTCTTCCAGCTCAGGTGTAGCACGCTCCGGCGGCGGATGTTCTTCCGGCAAACTCAGCGGAGGCAAAAATATTGGGCGGACTCTTGAAAGCTGCGATGTGATGCGATAATGAAGATTCCGGCCTAGGGCTCCTTCTTATGGAAGCAAGTCAATCTGACATCCGGGTCGGGCACCCCATGGATTCAGGTTGAAGCACTTGTGCTGCGGGAACACGGACTTCAATCCAAATCGGCATCAGAAGGATTGGAGGTCCCGGAGGCTTGGGGTGGTGACACAAAAGACAGGGGGCGGATGGGGAGGGGAAGGAGAGTAGGGCGGTGGCGCTGGTGCCAGAGAGAAACGGCCGCGCGTGGCGGCGCCGCTGCTGTACGCATTGGGGAGCCCGTGCTCCTGTGTTTTCTATGCTCGCTCGAACATCGTGTGGAAGTAAATCTATCGTTTTATGCAGGCCCATTAGAAAGTCCCAACCTGGAACGAAACGTTATCTCTGTTATAAAATAGGACTGCGGGAGAAGCTAGCAAAGGCAGCGACGGAAAGAGAGTTCGACTACGGGCGAGAGACCGAGTCGTGAAGGACTCGATTCCAGGTGAGGACCGGGTCGATTACCGAGGATACGACAAAGGAAAACCTAAAAGAATCATCGTGACGGTAAAATAGTAGCACCTCGTTTATATTATGATTTTATCAATACAAATCGTAAAAGCGTATTATGACATGAGAAGAAAGCGTATTGTGACGGTGAACCCGGAGACCCAATCCGTGCTTTATTATTAGGGAGAGATATACCATTTTATGTAGATATAATTATTATCTAGATATAGTGCTAGCACTTGTTCAAATATGAGATGGGCCTAGAGCCCATATGACAATTTCAGATTTAATCTCTAAGGGCCCATGTAGGTGGCATGACAAGGTGGTGGGAAGTTTAGTCCCACCTTGAAAGTGGAAGGAGAGTTGGAGTGGTTTATAAGGGACTCTCTCCCTCATGCTATTGGAGCTTGAGAAGAGATGAGGCCCTCGCGCACTCCTCCTCCGCTCGCCACGCCACGCCACGCCACGCCACGCCACGCCACGCCACGCCACGCCACGCCACGCCACGGGTTGCGGGATTGAGCCAAGCCGAGCTCACTCCTATGCGCTTCTTTTTGCCGGTCAGGAACGGAGAGTCTTTGACAGGTGGGGCCACGATCTGAGACGTCGGATCGTGGGCTACCGACTTGGAGGTGGGTTCAGCCCACGTCTCTCCACGCGCGGCCGCACATATATATGTGGGGCGCTGC